ATATACTGCCACTACATAAATAAACGGTTTGGCATGATTGTCATGTACCGAATTGAACTGAAATCAGTGCTTATCGGTGTTAATTCAGAGGTTATTTATTTTCTTGTTCACGAGGTATTTTGGATGTTCATTATTCCTGTCACGCGACCGATTTGCCGAGAATTCAGAGTTGATTCACAGCAATGCAAAATGATTTACAGTTTTGTTGACATTTAACTCCACGTGAAGAATGATGTATATTTCATCTGCATCAGATTTGTGAAGTTTATATCTAGACACAGATGTATAAGCAAATCATTTGTTGGCAATAGTCAAGAATTATATTTTGCAAAATGGTAAATTTAACATCATTTTATATAGCGAATAATGTGTGTGATGTTCAGGCAACATAAAACACCATTACAGTTCTCTGATTTCATGGTAAAATCGACCGGCTGGAATTGAAGTCAGACTTACATACCTTAATATGCTGGATAAATACATGTTTCTTTTGATCTCTGTGAAGCTTAGAATAGGATACACTGGTGGAAAGGTTAAATTAAATGCACAAGTGGTCATATGACCAGCTTTCATCCAGGAGCTCTCTCTTTGATGACAAGGGACATAGAGGAGAGAACTTGGGATCAAGGTTGTTCATGGCCTTGCATGAAGCCCTGGCTAAACAGAGTAACAAGTGTTCACTCATACCCATGACTTTGTTTGGCAATGGCAAGTGGATTATAGTGAAATTCAAAACCAATTTTCTTTCAGTTTATTCCTTATTTTATGCCCAATTCAATGTATATTTTCAATCAATTCAATGCCAATTCAATTCAATGACCCATTTAATTCAATGCCATTCAATGCCCAATGGTTCCTTCAGCATTCAATAGATATCAATCAATAAATTGACATCAATAATTTAATAAATTGATCAATAAATCAACTAATCAATTAGTCCGTTGATCAATCTTGTTGGTAACATCAGTAGGCAATCTTCAATCCTTGTGATGCCAAGCGCTGCTTCACTTACATGCCACTTTATACTAGAGGCCATCATCCATGGATATATGAAGTGTGGTGTACATAAAATGCATCCTGGCATGCAGTGGCAGTATTTAAATGATTATTGCTTTTTCAAATTACATGCACTTAGGAGTAAACTTGTTAGACAATTTGACCACCTAAGGTATCCAAGTCTGGACTCAAAGTACTTCAAAACTTGCGACTGTTGGTTGCTGCTTGTAACTATGCATGGTCAGGGAGTAAGTAGCCTTCAGTGACTACACTGTGCTAGATATCTTAATACAATTGAGCCTCGCTATTTCAAACTCCCAGGTAACTGAAAAACAGTTTGAAATAGGGGAGTTTGAATAGCCAATAATAAATGACTGTAGTGCAAATCTAAGGGAAATGGTTCTGAGTTTGAAATAACAATGAATTCAAACTAGCAGGGTCCAGCCATAATGCTTTTTTATTTTGTTTCCCTCAGGCGTAAAAAGGAAAGTCGTGAACCGCATACACATGCTAAGTATGCTCACAAACTCCATGGCCTCAAGTAAGTTAAGCAGCCATGTCACATGGTACATTGTTGCACTTGTATTAATTCTTACGGTAATGTAGAATCAA